CCAAGTTCCTTTTACCAGATTTTCTTTTCTTTTATTTCATATCATATTACTCATGGGACCAGAAACACACATTTCCCTGGAAAAGGGAATCTAAAAATAAACCAGTCTGGAAAAATGCTGTGACACATAGGCGAAGTCAATCTCGTTCTCAGGGTATGAGAGACCCTCTCATCTTCCCGCCCCCCTGGGAACGAGGTTGAGGCGTATCACTCCAGGTAATATTCTCCTGATAAATGTGAAAATGATAAATGTGAATAATATGAAAGTGAATGGCGACTTAGATAAAGTGAATGAATATAAAATGCTCTCGAGTCGAATTACTGAGTTTCCATAGTTCAGTGGTTAGAGCATCCAACCGGTACCTGGAAATTAGGTCATGGCTTCCACTCCCATTTGGGGAGTCCGTTGGGGGGCATTTCTTCACCTGTTTAAATTTTCAAGAAAGAAAACAATTGATAAACTGAGAATCGTCATTTCACCGCTGACTTGAGCAAGGATCTTAGAGACTGAGAGAACTGAAACCTTATCTTTTTCAAGAATGAAGGCGATCCTTGTGTTGTGCTTTCTGGTTGGAATAGTACAAACCGCTCGGCTTCCTAAAGGTACCTGAAACAATTCTCTGGTTAGAAATTTTCTGTTGGAATTATTGGCTTAATGGACGTTTTCATACTAACCAGTAGGACATCACCCCGGAGCCTCTAAGTTACAGCTTGGGCTATTTTTAGAATCGTTCTCCCGCGAAAAGATTACCGTGTACGTCCGCGGACAATAGTGATAATTCGTAGTAACGACATTCTTCCGTTCTAGTTCTTATTCCACGTTCTTCTCGTCCATTTTTGGTTTTATTTTTAACCTAAAACAAGAATGACAACCTAATCCTCGTGCTCAAAACGCGGCAAAAGTAAATCTAAAAATAGCTCAAGGTATAACTACGCCGTGTCATAGGCCCAATAAGGGAGATGGAGGCTCCAGGGTGATATGCTCCTGACTAACGCATAATCTGTCTGGACGAATTTGGGCAAGTTTTTTAGTGCTTCTAGTTATGCGTCCCAGCATAAAATGGATTATGCGTCAAGACGAAAGCATCTGTGTCTTGAATGAACATGGCTGAGATGAATTGTGTCTCTGAGTGGTTATGCCATTGCGTCCCAGCATAAATGGATAATGCGTTTCGTCTACTCCTGAACGACTAACCGTTAGGCTTTGCTCGTTTGATAATTCGTCCCGTCATTTAAACACAAGACGCATAAAATAGCAGATCGTTCGTCTGGACCTATTTAGTAGCCTCCTGGTAGCCTTCGTGGCAGTAGTTTCCTTTCCAAGAGGGCGGTGTTGACCTGGGGTGTTGACCATACTTTCGAACGGGCATCAAGGTCATTAAGATCATCCTCTTTTGGCGGGGATATATAAAATCATTTTATTAGAAATATCAGTAGGGAAAAGTATGTATTTTGGGTGTATCTGAACAAACAGGATAATCACTACATGACTACGACTACATGATCTATCTTTGGGTCTTGTAATGATATTCATAGTAGCCTACTGTTGTTTATTTTTTTTTTTTTTTTAACTTGGCTGTAAATGTCGTCGTGTTTGTATTTAAACCGCTGACTCGCTGAGAATCGTAAACTTATTCGGAAACAATATTCAATTCGAAAACCCGCCTGAAATTAGACACTGAATCCGGTATAAATAATTTCGTATTTCCTTTGTTTACGAGTAGCTTAAAATACAGTAAAGTATAAGAAAAGTACGTTGCAGGAGCCGTGAAACGGGCAAACTCGCTGCGACACACGCAGGGCAGTGCAGAAAGTAGAAGTAGAAGTGAGTTCCACCTTCTGGACCTTCTGAAATCGTAACAGAAGCTAAATTAAGCTTAAAGAGTACATAAAGTTTATCTGATTATCCTGATCGATAAATACTGATCTATGGTGTTGTTGATTTCTAAGGTGACTCAGACAAGTGGGCAGAGCAGAGCCACAAGAAAACGTATGTTACTACAGAAACCATACCCACCATAAAAATAATAATGAAAATAATTTTATATCACTCTATCTCTAGACTACGACTAGTCCCTAATTTTTCTCAGATCGAGCGGGTGAGCGCGTGGAAAGTTCGCGCCCGCGAGAAGACGCGACGCCATATTATATTCCCAGTAAAGTTCTAGCCCTTCAAACTGCGTTGATTGGTTATTCATGCTTCCGAGCAAGAGAGTACCCTTCATATTCTCTTGTTCCGAGTTATTAAAATCACGGGTAAAATTTATCGCATGCAGAGCGGGAACGTTTCAGCGCTGTAGAGGTAGTACTGAATTAAAATCAAATTATAAAATAATACTTTTGTTTTTACACTTTTCATAATGTTTAGTAAGCGCTGTATCCTTTTAAGAAAGGTAGCCGGAATTCCAAAACAGAGTCGGACACCTTAGTAAACATTATACAGCTGTTTCGAGAAAGGTTGTCGGAAAAAGCGCACGCGACAATCCCGAAAGGTAATATGGGATATGATCAGCAAGGTACGTTTCTGACACTGTAGCTGTCGAACCTACTTTTGTTGCTTTCTTTTAGCACTCGCAAACATACGTCCATGGCGTCTCGTTCCATTTCCTGAAATGCTGAATTCTAGGAACCGTAAACTTAAAACTACCCACAATACCTTTCGGGATTGTCACGTGCGCTTTCTTCCGACAACCTTTCTCGAAACAGCTGTAATCAGCGTATTCGTATTCCTTGTTTAGGTAAAGTGGCTGTGTATTTATAAAAGCAAATTTAATTGATATACTATTATTTCACTTTCCTCAGCATGTACTTCCGCTGAAGCGGCCAAAACACAGTGCCTTAACGGGGGAGAATGCTTCGCGATTGAAGTCGGAGGCGGGCGGATTTGTGCTTGCGTTTGCAAGGAGGGTTATACCGGCAGAAGATGTCAATTTCGGGCAATAGATCCAAGTATTCTGGCCGGCGGAAGATCACGTCAGTTGCAATCAGCGGTCTCTAATTAAAGAAACCTGCTTCGTTGTAAGGCACGCAAGACATGTTGCTTGTTATGTAAAATAAAATGTGGGAATGTGGTGACGCTTTGAGTGTTCTATGCATGAGTTGGGGGAGGGGGACAGGTTATCTGAACTCCCCTCTAACCGTACCATGTCCTCTCGGTCCCGCCTTCCATTGTTGTTCTCGCCTCTTTGTTACGAATTTTTTCCTATCTTTCCCGGTTCCCGCCACCTTGGGAATCCCGCCCTCTCTACCCCCGTAGACTTCCCTCACCCATTTTTATCCCTTGTATAATTCCAAGCTCGCAATACTAATTCTCCATAGCGATTGCCACATCAGTATATGTTGTATGAGGTATATCAAGTATTGACCAGTATTGAAAATCCGGAGAAAGTGATACTGCTTTCTTTGTAGAAACAGACTTCTCGTGACCTGATTTTTTACAGCAAAATATACATAGTAAAAGCCTTTCGTCTCCTCCGTCTTACTTGGAATACCAAGCTGAATAGGAACTGCAAACTAAGGCTTCCGACACTTGATGATGTGTTACAAAAACATCTTCCGGCTCTTATTAGTCTATTAAAAAAGTAAAGGAATTAAAAAAAATAAACATCTCACCAGATTTTGTGCCATTAGCAGCGCAGACCATCAAAACCGCAAAACACAAGATCACAACAATCTTCATCGTTAAACTTATATTAGTTTTCTTCTCAAAAAAATTCCTTCAGATACGTGCAAGACGTTATTGTTTCAGTGGACTGATAAACTAGTGCGGGATATCTAATGAGTTAGATGATGAAGTTATTTTTTTGCTTGTGTTTTGTTGTTTTGTAGCATAACGTAAACCAATCAACTCCGTTTTAACAACTCCCACTGATTTAATGGTAAAATATTTTAATGGTTCGTAAAATCATTATTCTCTCATAGCACTTAAATTAATTATTTAAGTCAGATCCATTAAGAAAGCTATACCTCGTGTATCGGGTAATGGAATTTACTTGTTTCCTATTCTAACAGAAAATTAAAAATCCCTCGAGGCGTGTTTTGATTTTCTTTGTTGATTCCCTTAACTCTCGCTATCAAGTGGAATTTTAACTGGCGAGAACTTTAATTTCCACTTTGGTTGGCAATAATGCCCTTTTTCACTTTAGTTCCAAAGACGTTACACTTGTAGAGCTACTTCTCTCCCTCTTTGTGCTATTAATTAGTAATAGTACACGAAATTGAACAATTAAAACCTAGAGATCTAACAGAAGATGAAATGCATCAGTGTTGGCACGCGGTGGCCTGATGGTCGGATAGCGCGTTGGACCGTCCAGATCGAGCCCTGGCAAGGTCTTGGGCAAGACACTTCACTCTCACAGTGCCTCTCTCTCCGCCCAGGGGTATAAATGGGTACCGGTGAACTGTCAAGGCAACCTGAAAAAATGCTGTGGGGTACCGGCTGCGATGGACTAGCATCCTATCCTAGTGGAGTAGCAGCTCTGATTCCTAGTCGTTTCATTTTACTGCCAGGGGACAAACATTGGAAAGAAAACAATTTTAAATTTCGGAAAATCCGCGTGTCCTAATATTCAAGTACCGTACCAATAAAGGAAAGTTATATTTTAGGAATGTGCACGTTCTGACATTTTATGCTTGTTAAAAAATTCATCAGTATAGAATGAAACCTGTTAAAATCTTCCAAGTTCCTTTTACCAGATTTTCTTTTCTTTTATTTCATATCATATTACTCATGGGACCAGAAACACACATTTCCCTGGAAAAGGGAATCTAAAAATAAACCAGTCTGGAAAAATGCTGTGACACATAGGCGAAGTCAATCTCGTTCTCAGGGTATGAGAGACCCTCTCATCTTCCCGCCCCCTGGGAACGAGGTTGAGGCGTATCACTCCAGGTAATATTCTCCTGATAAATGTGAAAATGATAAATGTGAATAATATGAAAGTGGAATGGCGACTTAGATAAAGTGAATGAATATAAAATGCTCTCGAGTCGAATTACTGAGTTTCCATAGCTCAGTGGTTAGAGCATCCAACCGGTACCTGGAAATTAGGTCATGGCTTCCACTCCCCGCTGGGGACTCCCTCCGTTGGGGGGCATTTATTCACCTGTTAAAATGAGTAAAATGAGTAAAATGAGTAAATGAGTAAAATGAGTAAAATGAGTAAAATGAGTAAAATGAGTAAAATGAGTAAAATGAGTAAAATGAGTTAAAATGAGTAAAATGAGTAAAATGAGTAAAATGAGTAAAATGAGTAAAATGAGTAAAATGAGTAAAATGATAAAATGAGTAAAATGAGTAAAATGAGTAAATGAGTCAAATGAGTAAAATGAGTAAAATGAGTAAATGAGTAAAATGAGTAAAATGAGTAAAATGAGTAAAATGTAAGTAAAATGAGTTAAAATGAGTAAAATGAGAGGTCATAAACTAGAGGTTTCCATCTAGCATTGCGCGCGGCCCATCAGATTCGGAGTTAGGCTATTTTAAGACATTTTTCGCGCGAAACCGCAGCCAATCACGCACCATGCCTGACTAATATGGTCACTGAACGCGCTAGCTCGACAATTTTTGTTCAAGACGGTTGACAGTTAAATTTGAAAAGATGGCTAAAATTATTAAGTAAAAAACCTTGGCCCTTCTAAATCAAACAAAAGTTAATTCTACTAAATAATGCACGAAAGTTTGGAACGAAATATTTAATTGGGAAATTCCTGTAAATGTACAACTAATGCGACTGAAAGAGCACTAAGGCAGCCTGAAATTAGTTTACGGGAAGATCAGATCCGAAAACCGCGGACATATAATTAATTCGTCCAAAGAATGAAAGCCTGTTTACAACACAAGTTTAAGCTTAGTCTATTCAGTATTGTTACCTTGTATTTCGAAGAGGCTTGTCAATTCCAGCTGAGTTAAGTTTTTACAATCAGCACAATAAATATCCACGGCAGTTCGTCAAGTGTTCGTGACGGTCAGATCACTTCACAGTGAAATTCTCTTCGAAGACCACTCTCTTTCTTTCCATCCATGTAGATATTGAGGTTTCCTTTGTTCTTTTACTTCAATGAACTTGATTTTAAGCTCAGTTTCGTTTCAACACAATTTAGTTTAAGCTTATTAAATTCTGTTAGTCGCGCAAGTTTTGCCCGCCGTATAATGTAAACAAGTGAAAACCTTCGGCTGCGTATAGCTGTCCGTTCAACTTGTAAAATGAATATAATGTTCAGCTCCACAATATTTTCGAATCTTCCCATGTTAAGCTAAACCATCGGCCACAATTTCCAGAATATACGAAACTTTGGAGAGATTGAGGCGAAGAAATCCGCGGAGAACACTTTTCATTCAACTTGCCAACTGGACAGCGCGCCAGTCCGCCAGAATTTTTGCCGCCGAATTCATACAAATCATGCTTCATTTTAGATTGACCTGAAAAATCACTCAGTCGATTTATAGTTTTACAAAAAGTATACCGAAGTTTGACCTGAATTTAGTGAAGTATTTAAACAATTATTACATTCTGCTGTGACGCTTTTTCGCTTTTCCTTGGCCAAAGTTTCTGTCTTTGGCGTAGCGCTCGCCGCATATCATTTTAAAGATGGGTTCAACTTCAACGTGTATTGGCTGCTGTTTCGCGCGAAAAATGTCCTAAAAATAGCCTAACTCCGAATCTGATGGGCCAAGGCCCAATACCAGAGATGGAAACCTCTAGTTATAGACCTCTGCCGTTTTTGCCTGAGGGATATAAATCGACAAAATTTCGTTAAAATTGTTAATTGATATTCGTATTTTCAGACGTTTCTAGAGCCGGATTAACGTCCCAAATGCAAATGCACGGATCTCTTGAATTGCGTTTACATCACGATATCAGGATATATTGAAAACATTTGACGCGAAAAGTAGTTTCCGCCATCATTATTAAATAAAGATCATCGTAATTTTGAGTGGCGGGAACGAATACTCTAAACTCCATTTTCAAAAGGATCACTGGTCTTGCGTGAATATGAAAACCACTGTCGATTAGCTGATGACATGACCGCATATTACATTCTCTAATTCACAAGGAAACAACATGTTTATCAGATCGATTTTCATTGATAATGTTTTCATAAAATATTGGTTATCCCAGCATGGAAATTCCAACGATTTTAAAACGAACTAAAATCTAACTGATTTTAACCGCCACTATATTGTTTTTTTTATATAAACTTTTTATACACTACTTATCGACCGTGATGATATTATTAGGTGTTGCTCAACCATGCAATAACTCGCACACAAAAGGCGAAAACGAAAAAATGAACCAGACAAAACTATGAAAGGCTTTCAGTAATCAGTGAACAGTGCCCCGCTGGCAATCACATTAACAAAACCCAGCCAAGCAAGAAAACTAACGTTAATATAGCTCAAACAACACCGCTGTTGTGCAAATAATAATCCCAGATAGACTAACGGTCAAAATATCGGTATAAAGCAACGCACACTGCCCAGTGTCACTTCAGTTGCGACTTAGCTCTGTCTTGACAAGGAACTACTCGCAAAGCAAATGGATATTCGAAATGAAACGCTCAGAATTACCGTTTATAACAGCGTCCGTAATTTTCAGCCTCTTGACGTTGTATATTGAGTATTCATGTGCGAGGTCATACCAGGTAAATAATATTATTTAATAATATCCAGTCTCACATTCTTTGTAGCATTTTAGATGTCATTTTCATTTTTTTCTTGAAATAGGAAATCCACCATTTGCTGACCGATGACGAAAGGGAAGCGATTTTGGACACACCATTTGTAGACTATGGTAAGGGCTTCACCATTGAATTGCTATGTAGTTTTAAGGTACTAAACAGTTCTTTCTTAATTAGATCATTGTTCCAACTCCCCGCTAAAGGCCAGCAAATTCAGTGGACTTCGTTACAAACGATGAAACTAAAATCGTTTCGATCTTTGAACCTTTTATATACCTTCTCAAAGGAATTTTACTAGGAATTTGTTTTATTTTCATTGAAGTATTAACTAATAATTGAAAACGGATAAATTTAACGGCACTGATTTCTAGCTAAAAAAATTTCAAATTCATAGGTAATTTGTTGTCCTCGTTTTCCCGCGAGACAAACGTTTCAGCGGCATTCGAAATGGTCATAACTGATCCACCAATAGTAGGACGGGAAAGTTAAACACGTGACTAAGCCATGTTTAATTTCTCTGTAAACTCCGTTTGTACTCTTTAACATGATAATGAGATTGACAGTTGTTGCGTGTTGTAAAAAAAACGGCCAACATTTCCGCTGCATGCAATATTAGCCTGACGCCAGGCGTCATTTGCCACGGTCTACAGTCCACACCGCATGACGTCCACTGTTTACGGTTAAATTTACACTTCAAAGATCAACCGTGAAATTTCTGTTACACACAAAATTTAAATAAGGCTTTCATTCTTTGGACGAATTATTATATGTCCGCGGTTTTCGGATCTGATCTCCCGTAAACTAATTTCAGGCTGCCTTTAGTGCTCTTTCAGTCGCATTATTGTACATTTACAGGAATTTCCCATTAAATTATTTCGTTCCAAACTTCGTGCATTATTTAGTAGAATTACTTTTGTTTGATTTAGAAGGGCCAAGGTTTTTTACTTAATAATTTTAGCCATCTTTTCAAATTTAACTGTCAACCCGTCTTGAACAAAAATTGTCGAGCTAGCGCGTTCAGTGACCATATTAGTCAGGCATGGTGCGTGATTGGCTGCTGGTTTCGCGCAAAAATGTCTAAAAATAGCCTAATCCCGAATCTGATGGGCCGCGCGCAATGCTAGATGAAACCTCTAGTTATAGACCTCTGGTAAAATGAGTAAAATGAGTAAAATGAGTAAAATGAGTAAAATGAGTAAAAATGAGTAAAATGAGTAAAATGAGTAAAAAGAGTAAAATGAGTAAAATGAGTAAAATGAGTAAAATGAGTAAAATGAGTAAAATGAGTAAAATGAGGTAAAATGAGTAAAATGAGTAAAATGAGTAAAATGAGTAAAATGAGTAAAATGAGTAAAATGAGTAAAATGAGTAAAATGAGTAAAATGAGTAAAATGAGTAAAATGAGTAAAATGAGTAAAATGAGTAAAAATGAGTAAAATGAGTAAAATGAGTAAAATGAGTAAAAATGAGTAAAACGAGTAATATGAGGGTTAAAACGTTGTTTTCTGTTCTCATAGCAAAATGTGTCTTCTTCATGGCATTCTTATTAATTTCCTTCATCAGGTAATATTGCTAATTTCTCGTTCGCGTTAATTTCCTTTATTTTGAACAATTTTGCCTTGAAAAATCGCGTTAAGGAGATGAGAGGGGAGGGGAAGGGAGGAGAGGAGAGGAGAAAAATTGTGTTAGATTTATTTTCTTTATTAGCAATGACTTTACATTACATTGCATAAGCTTAGACTTTTTCTTTAATAAGCGCACAGTGGCCAACTCAAAATTTTTTGCAACTTTGGCCATTGCACGCATATTAGTACCCTGGACAGAACAATTGAGGATTGATATATTATCCATCCACAATATTATTTAGTCTGCACTTTTCTTCTCACACATCTCCTTGAACCCAGTTTCCAGTTTAATTTGAGGGAGTAAAGCAAACTCCTGTAAGTACACAGTCCGTTTGTCTCTAAATGAACAGTCCATTGCATTGCTGTGACAAGTTTATGTAATGTATTTTAATGCTGCTAAAAACAACTATGTATAAGAAAAAAACATTATTTAACAAAAACAAATTATTTACTTCTAATTTCAAAGTATAAAAACAAATTAATTTGACCATAAATAGCAACACTTTGATACACGAGATGGCCGAAAGCGCCTTTTGATTCACTTTAGTTCCAAAGACGTTACACTTGTGGAGGCTACTTATCTCCCTCTTTGTGCTATTAATTAGTAATAGTACACGAAATTGAACAATTAAAACCTAGAGATCTAACAGAAGATGAAATGCATCAGTGTGGCACGCGGTGGCCTGATGGTCGGATAGCGCGTTGGACCGTCCAGATCGAGCCTGGCAAGGTCTTGGGCAAGACACTTCACTCTCACAGTGCCTCTCTCTCCGC